AAGCCTAATCTGTGCACTAACTCATTCAAGCCCCACACAGCCTTATTGGATATGCATTTTCCCCATTTTGCAGATAAGGAAACAGAAAAGACAAGTGGACATACACTAATTTTATCTACTCAAAACTCTCAGCTCCTTTGGGCACTTCCACATCCCCTATTCCATGAGACCCTGGTAATTGCAGTGCCCTGAACCCCTAGGCACCCAGATGAGGCCCATAACACTTGACATCCTGGCCTGGCCCCTGGTCACGGGGTAGACAGATGACCCAGAACAGAACCAGTTAAAATCTTTCCTGGGGATCCTATTAATATAGAGAGTGGAAAATAAATATTGCATAAGGTGTGGTAACCATCTCCAAAGATGGTGCCAACGAATCATACACACACCTCCTAGAACTCACGCCCTTATGCCTAGACTCCCTGGCACATGGAATCTGGGCAGCCCCACGACTCACTTCAAACAAGACAATGCAGCAAAAGAGATCTTATGTCCCTTCCACACCTAAGCCCTAAGAAGTCCCGGCAGTTTCCACCTTGGTGCTTTTGAAAGCCTTGAGCTACCATGTAAGAAGTCGACATCTCTACTAGAGAGACCATGTAGATCAGAGGTCAGCAAGCTTTTCTTTAAGGGCCAGAGAATAAATATTTAAGGCTCTGTAAGCCATATGGTCTCAGTCACCACTACTCAAAGGCCTTGTAGTGTGACAGCAGCCACAGGCAGTATGTGAACAAATAGGCCTGGCCAACACCTTCCATTAAACTTGCTTTACAAAACAGGGATCCCAGGCTGTAGTTGGCTAACCCTTGATGGAGAGACCACACAGGAAAGCCACTTGGAGAGCAAGAGGCCTGGAGACTTCACAGAGACAGGGAAAGGCCCTGTCATCCCAGAGTCCCAGCCGAGTCCAGCCTTCTAGGCAACATACCAGACACTGTGCAGGCCATCTTGGACTTTCTAGACGAGGAGAGTCCTGGGTGCCTGCAATCTTAGCCCAAGTCACATGGAGTGGAAACATCCTCAACCCACAGATTCATGAGGGGTAATACAACGATTGTAGTTTCAGACCACTATAGTTCAAGGTGCATGGTTACACAGCAAAGTCGCATAAGGGAGGGTTTCTCAAACTCGGCACTACTGAAATTTTGGGCCAGATAATTCTATGCTATTCTGTCATTGCAGGAAGGTCAGCATTATCTCTGGCTTCACCCACTAGATGCCAGGAGCACCCTTCCCTGCAAGTTGTGACAACCGAAAATGTCTCCCAAACATTGCCAAGTGTCCGAGGTGGGGGGGTAGGGGGTGCAAAACCACCACTGGCCAAAAAACACTGATGTAAAGTAATAAAATACAAAACTGGGACACCAGCAGCCCACTCCCCCACATTGAGGAAGACACGAACAGGGTGTGGCGAAGGCCGATTTATGACTTTCATAGGCCCTAGATACAACTGCCTTCATCAGCCTCTTCCTCCATTAAAAAAAAAAAAAATCAGAGCCTGAGTGGTCAGTTGGACAGCCTCCCAACTTAGCCTCAGTCCTTTGATCCTCACTGTTTGGCCAGGTTCGAGCCCCGCATCAGGCTCTGTGCTGACAGCTCAGAGCCTGGAGCCTGCTTCGGATTCTGTGTCTCCCTCTCTCTCTCTGCCCCTCCCCTGCTCACGCTCACTCACTATCTCTCTCTCTCTCAAAATAAATAAACATTAAAAAAAGTCAAAACCCCAAACACAGATTTGGTGCAGTGGGTTAAGCATCAAACTTCCAGCCAGGTCACGATCTGCATGATCCGTGAGTTTGAGCCCAAACATCAGGCTTTCCTGGGCTGATGGCTCAGAGCAGAGGCATGTTTCAGGTTACCTGTGTCTCCCTCTCTCCTGCCCCTCCGTTCCTTCATCTCTCTGTCAAAATAAATACTTAGTTGGAAAAAAATTAAAAAAAAGTCAAAAAAAAAAAAAAAAAAAAAAAAAAAAAAAAAAAAAAAAAAAAAAAAAAAAAAAAATTTAATAAAAAAAAAAAAAAGTCAAAAACTATATTTTATGATACCACTGACAAAAGGATAAATACAACCCAAAATCACTATAATTATTTTGCTCATAGTTTTCTTGTTTCAAACTAAATTTAAATTAAGTTAATGAAAATAAGTGCAATTTATTAAAATTAAATACTGTGCCTGCTATGCCTGCAGGATTATCAGCCCTGAGTGGGTATAAGGATGGAGCCAGTGGGGTGCCTGGGTGGCTCCGTCGGTTAAGCGTCCGACTTCAGCTCGGGTCATGATCTCGCAGTTTGTGAGTTCGAGCCCCGCGTCGGGCTCTGTGCTGACAGGTCGGAGCCTGGAGCCTGGTTCGGATTCTGTGTCTCCCTCTCTCTGACCCTCCCCCATCCATGCTCTCTGTCTCAAAAATAAATAAAAATTAAAAAAAAAAAAAAAAAAAAAAAAGGATGGAGCCAGAGGACTAACTCACGTACCTGGATCCAGCCATGCCTAAAGTTTGACCCATCCCTGGATGGGCTTCACGAGCTCAGTTTCATGAGCCATAAATTCACTTTTTTGGCCTAAGCTAGTTTGAGTTGAGTTTCTGTCACTTGCAACCAGGAGACCTGACTTATCTGTTCTCCCAAATGCAACAGGTGGAAACTGACCTTAAAACTGAGTCTGCCTTCCTCAGAGCAGAGTTCCTACTCACTACCACCAACCACTAACTCATTCTGCCTCGGGCATTTTTGCAGTTTTCTCTCCCAGAAGACTTTTCCAGAAGAACCTCTCCAAACTTACATTTGCGGACAAAGTTGCTCACGTGCTTAATCTTCATCAGAGCAGGCTGACTGCATTCTTCAAAGAGAACGAAGAGGGCATCTAATATCCCTTCTCGGGAAAGAGGAGACATCTGCTGTTGAGTCAGAAAGGGTGGTTTCCCCTAAAAACAGCAAACAGCAGATGGAGACACTGTCAATAATGAAAAGCTTTGATCAATAACATCCACACAGAGTAAATTACAAGCCACCAACTCTAACTGCTCACGACACACGCTAACAGCACAATTCTGTGGCTTCATTCTTTAAAGCGACATCAATGGAGAGTCATTAAGTTATCACTTGTACAATTCCATTATTGTGGGCTTCTTTCACCAGTGCCTGGGAAGAAAACCTTCACGAGCGTGCCATTAATAAGAAAAGGCCCCTCCTTCTTAACAGTCTGAGGCTCATGGGAACATTGACTCCGGACCCTGCTGGTTCTGACGTGTTTCCATGTCTCTACAATAGGACACAATGATTGCTACATCTTTCAAGTGCGCCCAGAGGTTTGCTAATATAACTGCAGCTTCTTTAATTTACTTGAACAATCTAAAGTAGTGTGAACGAAGTGCCCACACTGAAGCTGAATTTATTCATGACCTAGACCAACAGTTCCAAACTGGCAGACTGTATCTAGCTCACAGACATGTTTTGTTTGGCCTGCGGCATTTATTTATATATTTTTTTAAGTTTATTTCATTTTTGAGAGAGACAGAGTGTGAGCAGGGGAGGGGCAGAAAGAGAGGGAGACACAGAATCCAAAGCAGGCTCCAGGCTCTGACCTGTCAGCACAGAGTCAGACTCAGAGCTCGAACTCACGAACCGCAAGATCATGACCTGAGCCAACAGTCATGATCAGACGCTTAACCAACTGAGCCACCCAGGCACCCCAGGCCTGCAGCACTTAAATTTGAATTTCCTGCCAATATTGAAAAATCAGGAAATTCCATTCAAAAGAAAGGGTGGGATTTGAGGGTTCTCCTAAAATACTGGAGGACTGGGCAACATCGTCCCACATTCCCATCTGGTGATGCTGAGCTGTGGTTGAGTGATGCTGCCCCTCTGTAGTGAATGTGTTCAGCAGTTCACTGCAGACCTCACTGCCAGTCTTCCATCTGGCCCATGTGACTCACTTATACTCACTTCCTGGCCCCTAGGGACATGAGTTTGCAACCTCTGGTCTAGAGCAAAGATTTCCATGGGCCAGGCTATGGATTGTGTGGGGTCTCTCTGCCAAGATGGCCACCAACAGGCCCTCTAACTCTGTAGGTGCTGCCGCCACTCCCATCAAGAGCCAGAGTCTATTTCTCCTCCCCTTGAATCTGTACTTTCTCTGTGACTTGCTTTAAGCAACAGAAGGTGACAAAAGTGACACTGTGCCAGTTCTGGGCAGACTTCTAAAGGAGCCTAGCACCATCTGCTTTTCTCTTTGGGGAAGCCAGTCGCCATGTAAAAAAGCTTAGACCAGACGGGGGTCAGCAAACTATGGCCCATAGGCCAATCTGGCCCACTGCCTGTTTTTATAAATAAAGTTTTATTGGAACACAGCCACACCCATTCATTTACATACTGTGGCTGCTTTTGTGCTACAGTGGCAGAGTTGAATAGTTGGAGCCACTCCCAAAGCCTAAAATATTTATTATTTACAGAAGAAAGTTACCAGCCCTAGGTTAGACTACTGAATAATGAAGGACTTCATAGAGAAGTCAGCTAGAGGAAAAGTCAGATGCCCCAGCCAGCAGTCAGCACCCAGATGTTCCAGTCCCAGCCAAGCTCCCAACATAATATGGCCCCTTGAGTGACCCCAGCTGACATCACAGGGTAGAACAGAACTGCCTACTTGAATCCAAATAACCCACAGAATCAGAAGAAAAATAAATCATTGCTGCTTTAAACTTTGTGAATGGTTTCTTACACAGCACTGGATAATAGACACAGACTGGTTACATTGAATCACCCGAAGAACTTAGCCAAAAAACAACAAAAAAATTCTCTGGTGCTATCCCCCTCCTACTGAGTGAGAATTTTCCAGGTTATGGCTTAGAATCTGTTTTTTTGTTCTTTTATGTTTACTTATTTTTGAGAGAGGGAAAGACCAAGAACAAGCAGGGGAGGGGCAGAGAGAGAGGGGGACACAGAATCCGAAGCTGGTTCCAGGCTCTGAGCTGTCAGCACAGAGCTCAAAGCGGGACTCGAACTCACGAACTGTGAGATCATGCCCTGAGCCGAAGTCGGACGCTTAACCCACTGAGCCACTCAGGCGCCCCTAAAATCTGTTTTATTAGCAAGCTCATCAAGAAATTCAAACCTCAGCCAGGTATGTGAAGCACTGGGTCACAAGCCACCATACCTGTCACTTTATAGTTCTGCCACAAACTCCAAAAATTAATAAGCCTTTGTTCCTTTGTTCTTTAGTAGTTTGGACTAACTACAGCAGCAGTTCCCAAATACAGTACTGATTCTTAACAAAGTTCTCAAGTTGGCCAAAAATGAGAAAAAATGAACACCTCATAATGATTTGTCTATAAAGCTAGATATATTCAAATTTTAAAGTGGTCTTTTTTTTCTGAAGTAACATCCTTCCTTTGTTGCGTTTCTTAAAAAAATTTTTTTGGGGCGCATGGGTAGCTCAGTCGGTTGGGTGTCCAACTTCAGCTCAGGTCATGATCTTA